TTTTTTTTCCACCATTAAAAAGAAATTATTTTTCTACCGCAATATTTTTTTTCTACCTTAAACATCACCGTATTTTTTTTTACCTAAAACATCACCAATTTTTTTTTTTCAGGGGGGTTCCTAGGGGGCTCTGTAGTAATGCACCATTTCGTTGTTTGCATAAACGAGAGGAAGAAGAAGAAGAAGAGGAAGAGAAAAAAAAAGTAAAAGAAGAAGAGAAATAGGCCTATTGTGTACAACAAGCGTTGTCAGTCCAGAGAACAGTAGAAAAGTTATTTGGAAAGTTATGGAGCAAACTCAGCAGCAGCAGATGTTTGGTCATCTAAACGGGTAAGCCGCTTTTTTTTTTGTTTTGTGAACATTCCACACGAGAAACACAAACACCGACTAATGGAAGCTGGTGGCGTAACCTTACTGTCTGTCCACATGTGCGCAGTGTTACTTTTGCGTTGCAGTTTCTCATATTTAACCAGGCTAAGTAAATGTGTAGCTTTTTTAAAAATTCCGTCACTGTTTGAGTTTAAGACATAAAAATAAGTATCCTCTTTTGCGCAGAACACTGTTGCACAACTATCTCGTGAAACTGTATGAACGAAGCATTAGGGTTTATGTTCTGACTGACAGTGTACACTTTGGCAGCGGGGATGAAGAATTTTACTCCTGGAGTAAAAGTAGCATGGCACTGTGTAAAATACTTTGTTAAAATTAATATTAGACTACAGAAGCATTACAAGGAAAATGAATGCTAAAGCATTAATAGTAAAAGTACACATTGAAAAAAACATTGTTAAAGATTTATCATAAGCTGTATCGTAATGTTGTTGATCCAAAATAACTACTTAATACACTGCTGGTAATTTAATCCATAACAGCTCATCATTTGTATAGACCTAATTAATGTTTAGTATGTTCAGTATTAAAGAATACAGTGTTTTCCTCTGAAATGTGGGTTTAAATAATTTAGCAGAGAATAGAAATAAGTAACATACCAGTGCTTTGAAATTGTTAATAACAGTCTTTGAGTAAATTAATAATTAGTTACATTCCACCTTTACTTTTGTTAGAGAATTCTTTTATATAACAACAAATTTTACAGGACTGAAATATCAGTTAAGTGATTAATTAGTTGAGAACCGTCTGACAATTTTGTTCATCAAGTAGTTAAATAAAAATGGAGAAACAACAATTGAATGGTTATCATCAGATTTTGTTTGTTTTTTGCCTATATGCAAGACAAAATAAGAAATTACATATTACTTTCAACATTTTTGACTTTGTATAGAACAAATAAATAGATGGTTAAAGGAGGTACAGCACCTGGCTGTATGGTGCGCTGACAGTACCCTGCTCCTTAACACTAACAAGACCAAGGAGCTCACTGAGGGAGAAAGGAGTCACACACGACCCTATCCATATTAACAGAATGGTTGCTGAACACGTCTCCAGCTTCAAATTCCTGGGGACCCACATTTCAGAGGATCTGTCCTGGACCATCAACACCCGCAGCCTAGTTAAGAAGGCTCACCAGCACCTCTTCTTCCTGAGGACACTGAAGAAGAACCACCTGTCTTCAACCATCCTGATGAACTTCTACTGCTTTGCCATCGAGAGCATCCTGACCAGTGTATCACAGTCTGGTATGGAAACTGCTCTGTCTCCGACCGCAAGGCGCTGCAGCAGGTGGTGAGAACTGCCCAATGCATCACAGGGACTCCACTTTCAGCCATTGAGGGTGTCCAAAGGGAACGCTGTCTCTGACGTGCTCACAGCATTCTCAAGGACTCCTCTCAGCCTGCCCCCAAAACAATTTGACGTCCTACCTTCTGGGAGGTGCTTCAGGAGCCTCCGGACCAAAACCAGTAGACTCAGGAACAGCTTCTTCCCCACAGCTGTCTCCTTACTGAACTCTGTCCCCCGTTGACCCCCACTGCCTTCCTCTATACCACTACACACACCTCACCCCTTCTCATCTCTCCTCCCAGAACTAATGCAATACACTTCTGTTACTTGTAACACTGAAGTGATCTGTTAATTTGCACATGCTCTACTCACAGGATACTGCTTTGTTATTCGTTTGCACACTGTTCATATGCAGATACTGTATATTTATTTTTATCTTTGCACTATTTACATCCATTGAACTTTTCACTCATATAACTTATCTTCTTATTCTGCACTGTTTCATTCCATTTCATCCCATTGCTCTAGTGTTCTATAAGCTCAATGTACCTTATCCACTACTGTAATTTAAATCTATAGTCTGTTGTATATTGTACATTACCCTACATATCTTACTGTAAACATCAATTGTAGATACCTATCGGTAAATTAGTTTTGACTGTACATACTGTAGATACTGCACATTCTGCACTGCTGTTATTGTACTTCTGGTTAGACGCTAAACTGTATTTTGTTGCCTTGTACTTGTACATGGGTAATGACAATAAAGGTGAATCTAATCTAATCTAAATAATTGATTGCCAATTACCAATACCTAGTAGTTTTGGTAAGTGGCAACTAAGCCCTTGAGTCATTTCATGTTTTCTGTTGTATTTGTCATCAGTAAATGTAGTCCCTGTTTCACTGCTCATATATGATATTTACTGTATGCCTACAACCGGTAGTTCCACTGTCCAGAAACAATGATGCTTACTTTAGGTCTTTCAGATGACTCGAGCAGTGCACACTGGCGACATGTAACTCATGTCAAAACACCTGTGCTCATTAGTTTCAATGCGAACCCACTAACTAGCAGTAAACCTATCATCGCGGGTTGACATACGTTGCCACATCAGGATATACTGTCATCCTGTATGCCTAGAATTGACGTAATGTGAGGTGGACTGAATGCGCATTACTCCCAGTGTGTTACAGGTCACATGACATGACATGACACTTAGGTGTGGGAACGTTTTTTGTTTTGTTCAGGGGGTGCTGCCTGGGACACTTACACACACACACACACAAGCATGTAACCATAGTCATGCAAGTGTTTAATTTTTGTCTAAATACAGTTTTTTGGATGCTACATTTGGATTATTTTCTAAAATTGTTTGATTCATTCAGTTAGATTTGTATTAACAACATCAGTGTGATCCTGATTGTGATCTGCATTGTCATTCTCAACATTTGCCTCATCAGAACCAAAGAAAATTCTTAACATGTAACTAACTTGCAGCATGATGAGATGCCTTCGTTGTTTACATCTGAAGACTTGAAGGTGCTCCTCATCCCCATTTTCCCTGAGCCCAGTAGCTCCAACACAAGCAGATGCAGCTGCCTGTAAAAGACCCTGCTGCTGCCTTCTTGTGCAGTGACTGGTTCTGCTGTGGTGCTGTTGCTAACATTAGCTATTGTAACTGCTTCGGCATTAGCAATATAGTTTTTGTCAGCTCCTGATGTGCTGCAAGGACAACAGATGGGACAATTGGTCTGCACCAGGCTGGACAACAGTAGTTTGCATGTAAGCCTTATGCACATAATCATAACAGACACCAGTGTAAAAAAAAAAAAAAAAAAAAAAAAAAAAAAGTCCTCAGAAAATAACTGCAGACTTGGGTGATTTAAATCATAGACTGTGGAGATTACACTGCACTCACCGCACCAGAGAAAATAGACCTGAAGCATAAAACAATGGCAATCTACTCAGACAAGAGCCAGTGAGAATGCAATTGCACACTCAGGAGTCTTCTGGATGGAGACTTCGAAGTGGTGATCAGTACAGGAGTGTTACACAGAGGACTGGACCTAGACAATGTTAGATTGGTGGTTACCCTTCACATGCTAAACACCATGAATGGATGAGTACATCAGGTGGGCAGAGCAGTTCGGCTGGGACATGGGGTAACTGCCATAACCTTCATCAACAACAACAGTTTCATCATGGCACCGCATATGTCTGCCTTTGTAGTGCACTCTCGTGTTTGTTTTTCCTCATTCCATGGATGAGTATATACATCAGGTGGGCAGAGCAGTTCGGCTGGGACATGGGGTAACTGCCATAACCTTCATCAACAACAACAGTTTCATCATGGCACTGCGTATGTCTGCCTTTGTAGTGCACTCTCGTGTTTGTTTTTCCTCATTCTCTCGGTCTTCTACAATCCATCCTATATTACCATCACCAGAGAAGAGCTACTAAATACCAGACAACTCACTCTGAGCACCTTTACTCCAATTTTTGCTAATGCAAAAATCTGTGTGGACATTTTGGTCAGAGGTGTAACAGCTCTCTCTGGGACTGGAAAACACAGTCGTGGGAAGAGTGGGGGCCCTAGTTAAGATACGACAGAGAGGGACCCAGCCTTGAGACTCCCTGATCACTTCATGGTCCATCTCATTCCAATCTATAACACAGATACTTGAAGCTGTTAAGCCTGTGATCAAGACAGTCAAGAGTTGGACCAAGCAGGCAAAGTCAGAGCTACAGGCCTGCTTTGATTGCACAAACTGGAGTGTATTTAAGGTTGTGTCTACAGACCTGGATGAACTCACTGACAGTGTGACATCATACATAAGCTTTTTTGGGGACATGTGTGTGTGCTTCCACCCTGAAGATCACAATTTCAAAAAGGCACCAGGCCCAGGTGGTTTGACCCTCTCCTCTAAAAAAACAAAAAACCCCAGTGGTTAGAGCCATCGGTGTGAGTTGGTGCCGCAAATGGCTGCCTCGGTTCTGCGCCGGAAACAAATTCATTGTGTGTGTAACATACTTGGCCAAATAAAATGATGATGATGATTGATGATTGATTCTTCTTCTTTTCTGAAAGCTTGTGCTGATCAGCTGGCCCCCATCTTCAACAGATCAGTGGTTCCCATATCTGATGAATAAATGATGTTAATATCAGACCCAATATTGATATAGGATTAGACTTGTCCCATTTCTAGTTGTATAGCCTCGTTTTATGCTCTGGCTTCATCAGAATACTCAGACTGTGATGAGCTCAGATCTGCAAAGTTTTATGAATGACAGAAGAAAAGAAAATATGCCTGTTCTGTATTTATTGCTGTAACGACCAATTAGAATTCTAATCTCAGTCTCTCTAGCTTATAGCTAAATAGCTAGTTATAGAGAGGAAACTGAAAAATAGAAATGTAGTTTAATGCAAAGTAAATTTAACAGCTGTAACCACTAGTTGCATGTGAGGATGTTGGGTTCATCGTCCTGCTGTCATTTACACTAAATCTTGTTTTCAGTGAACAATACACAAGGGGAAAAAATGCATGTTAAATTGCAATCGCAATATTTCTTTTTAAAAAAAATTAAGCCCTACTTAAAAGATTCATTTGCTCTTAAATCACAAAGTATTATACCCTGTCTCTGTCTTTTTGCTGTCTCTCTGTAGCAGTACAACCAGGAAGAGAGAAGACTATCTAGAATGGCCGGAGTACTTTATGGCTGTGGCCTTTCTATCAGCCCAGAGAAGCAAAGACCCAAGCTCACAGGTATATGTAGGCATGGGTACAGAGGACCTGTCTTAAATTGATACCAATTCCTGATTGGTCAGAACTGAAGTACTGATGCTACATTTGGTACTACTGTTGGTATTTTATCATCAATTTTTTTTAATATTCAGTGTTTTTCTTTGTCTGCTTGAACAAACATTTTTCCTGTCTCTGTCTACTAGGGGTGCAAGAAAAACATCGATTCACATAAGAATCATGATTCTTATCTTTTACATTTCTCAATTGGTTTACAAATGCTAAAAATTGATTTTTGTAATAACGTTGAAGTGAAACTCAACCGCGAAGCCAGTGCAGCACATGAACAGCATACAACATGCAGATACAAGAGTTGTGTGGTAATGTTAGTTCATCTTCAGAAAAGGAAGGCATGTTAAGGACTTAATAATGAGCTTTGAAAGACAAGTGTGGAGGATGTGTTAATACTTCATACCCCTCCGCTAACAGATGGACTGTAGCATAGCAGAGTACTGAACTTAAGTAGAGCAGCTCAGCAACATGCACTGCAGTGCTTCAGTGGGGCCAAGAAAAGGCCTAGTTTCAACAAACATGTGCCTGTTTTGGATCACGCTGGCTTTCTCTTGTAGTAATTCTGCAGCAGAGATGCTGTTCTGTGCTGTTGTGCTGCTGCAGATGTAATGTTAACAACAACATGGCTGATTGCTTTAATTTGTTCTTTCCACTCTCTTTACAGCACATGCCAGCAACAAACAGTGGTGGAAGAAGTACTCAGATTGTTTACTGAAGTAAAAGTAGCAGTACCACAATATAAAAATGCTCAAAGTAAAAGTTCTGCATTCAGAATATTACTTAATAGGGTCTACTTAAACCCACCAGTGTTGCGGTTACACAGGTAGAGCATGAGTGATATGTGAGCTAAAACATCATCAGACAAGCAATTTATAACATGACCCAAGTACTTAACTTCATTACAGACAGTTAAAATGTTACCAGATAACTTAAAAAAAGGGAATGCAAGGGTCCTGTCCTCTTTTGTGCGGCATATCATAATAACATTTTCACTCAATCAAAAGCTTTAGACGCATCTAAAAAACACACATACAGTAGAATTTTTACTTTTATATTTACTAACTAGTTCTTTCAAAGCAAAAATACACATATCAGTGCCATGATTGGCTTTAAACCTAAATTGATTATCAGTAGAGCCAATAAGATTATGAAACCTACTCAAGAGAATTTCTTCAACAACTTTAGAAAGTATATTAGCAAGTGCAATGGGTCTATAATTATCTGAGCTGCCCACCTTTCCTGCTTTATCCTTCACCACTGGGACTAAAAGCACTGACATCAAAAAGTCGGGCATAAACCCATGCATAACAAAAGAAGTAAAGCATATAGCTAAAAGAGGTGCCAACCTCAAACTAGCATATTTAAGATGTTCTACAGAAATGCAGTCCATCCCAGTAGACTTATTTGCGAAAGAGTAACAGAATGTGAGTCAAGATGGCACCACTGTGTTTGGCCTGCCGCCTGCTCATCTTATGTGTTTGCTATTTTGGTATACTTGGGGTGGCCTCTGTCTCCCCTACCTTGATATATGATCGCTTGTCCCTCCTATCAATACGTAATTCTATGTTTAGTCGCTCAAACGTTTACTGAAGCTATCAATCCGAGCGACCACCACCACCACTAGCGTCCATACCTTCGTTTCTTCGACGTCTGGATGGCCCCCTCCCGGGCAGACCTTGTTGAAGGCGACGCGGCAGAAGAGCTGGCCTCCGTGTTAGATTGAAGTCCTTTTTAAAGACACCGATATGGACTGACCATATCTTGGAGCATGGTGACTACAACCCTGGCTGGACTGTGGTCCATAGCTACTGCTCCCTTTGACCGGTTGACCCAGATGTCGATTCCCTTCGCCCCTATTGCTGATTGGTGAGGCGACCGGATCGGCGTTGTTCTCAGGCCAACCTCCGCCCAGTGACTCGGGCCGACTCCACGCAGGATAAGCTAAGCCCGCTTCACTTCGCTCTTTTTATATAGCTGATTGGTGAGGCGACCGGATCGCCGTTGTTCTCAGGCCAACATCCGCCCAGTGACTCGGGCCGACTCCACACAGGATAAGCTAAGCCCACTTCACTTCGCTCTTTTTAACGCAAGATCACTTAATAGCAAGACTTTTATTCTTAATGATTTTATTTTCACTCATGACCTCGTTGTGTTCTTTATCACTGAAACAAGGGGATAACAGTCTTTTCTCTGAGCTCCTGCCGGCTGACTATTTGTTTTTTAATACCCTGCATCTTGCTGGCAGAGGGGGTGGTTTGGCCTCTATCTTTAAGCCAGCTCTAAAATGTCGCCTTCTCCCCCCAAGGCCCATTCCAGCTTTGAGCTCCAAACCTTTGTTTTAACACGGCACTGTCCAATTCTAGTTGCAGTTATATATTGTCCGCCTAAATTGAGGGATTTTATAAATTAATTTGGGGAACTTTTGGCAGCTCTTATTCCTCAGTTCGACTGCTTCCTCATTTGTGGAGATTTTAGTATTCATGTCAACTGGCCCTCTGACCAGCTAGCGATTGAGTTTAATGCACTGCTGGATTCTTTTGATCTCACTCAGTCAGTACTATGCCCCACTCATCAACGTGGGGCCACGTTAGACCTCGTTATCTCTCGAGGCCTATCCCTATGTATCAAAGATGTATCAGACTTGGCCATCTCTGATCACTTTGAAGTCCAGGCACCAACAAATGTAATCAGACCTACGGCCCCCTGTCAGCGCCGTAGGATTACCGTATTTTCCGGACTATAAGTCGCACTTTTTTTCATGGTTTGGCTGGTCCTGCGACGTATACTCCGGAGCGACTTATGTATGTTTTTTTTTAAATATTTCCGTAGATTGAAATTTCACATGTTCGTTATTTTCACACTGAGAGCCGCGTGAGGGCACTCTCGGCTTGTGTGTTAACAGACGCATATTCAGCCTGTTGTTCTCCATTTTATTGTTATTAAGATAACTTGCCTTTCAAGATGAAATGTATGTTCTTGGTCTCTGATTTTATGAAATATATTTCCCCCAAAAAGTGCGACTTATAGTCCAGTGCGACTTATATATGTTTTTTTTCTTCTTCATTATGCATTTTTTGGCTGGTGCGACGTATACTCAGGAGCGACTTATAGTCCGGAAAATACGGTATTACTTCCTCAGCTATCTTGGGTTTCATGGATGCCTTTTTAGCCTCCGAGTTTTATCTGTCAGAAGCCCAAAACCCTCCTGCATGTTCGGATGCCTTCCTTTCTTCCCTGAACTCTACCTGTGCCCGGATTATGGACTCTGTCGCTCCTTTTAGGAGGAGGAGGGCAAGAAACACCCCGGACCCTTAGATGAACGATACCACCCGTGCCCTGCGGAGACGCTGCATGCAGGTGGAACGTAAATAGAAGAAGGATGGCCTGCACATCTCCCTAGACTGCTTAAGAGACAGCCTCCCCTCATACCAGGAGATTATAAAAGACGCTAAAATTCAATATTTATCGAACGTTATTTTGAATAATAGCCAGCATCCAAGAGTCCTTTTTAAAACCGTTGATTCCGTTATCAATCCTGCTGGCACTGTGCCCATTGAGGGATCAGTTCTGCGCTGTAATGAATTTCAGAGATATTTTACTGATAAAGTTGGGACCATCAGGCAAAATATTCTTAAACCCCCACCGTATGCACCACCTTATCTCACTT